AATGCTAAAAATGTTAAAAAAATACTTAAAGAAAGAGAATTCTGGTCAACTGTGGAAGAGCTGGCATATAATTTGGAGGTTGATTTAAAGGAAACGTCTTAGATCTCTTAATTCAGTTATAAATTAAAGATAATAATAAATACACTAAATGTACCGAAACGTAATAGTTATTGATTAATATCATGCAGTATGATCATTTGCGAATTGCATTCTATCTCTCTAAGCAGATTTATTTATCGTAACAGATTGTTCTAGAAGGGATATCAATGAAACAACCTTTAAAAGTACGAACCTATCTATCTATATATATGTTTTAAACTCCGGTCTGAATGTCTGTTCTAACCTTTTTCCTTTACTAAATTCAATATGATTGTTTGTGTATGTGACAATTCCGCTTTAAAGTTATAAACAAAATGTTGTTGAATTTAGTCAAACCTAAATTTAAAACTTTTTTCTCGGAGATATATTTCTGTTATTAAGAAACCAATTAATTTCCACAACATTTGAAACATAAGATTTAAAACAGGGCAATTACAAACTTGTTATATAATGGATCTATTCTTTAAATTAACGGCGAAATAAGAGGTGGGAAACTTACTATTTTTCTCTAGAATTCTTTACAATCAATTGAGATAACGGGCAAGAGTAAAACAATTACAAAACTGTAGAAAAATATAAACACGTTCAGGTTTGATTTTTTGCTTTTGTTTTTTATTATTTTCAAATATTTGAAATAACAAATAAATCGTATGCATTCTGATTAATCAGATTCATACAACTATTCTATCTTAAAGAAAAAAAAGCTGAACTGTTAATGACGTTAAGTGTTTTAACCAAATAACCTCCACTTTATTTAGAATGTTTTTGTTTTCGCAAATGCGTCTTTTATAATCTTTTAAATCATATGTTTTGTAGTCCTAGAATTTGATTTAAACGTCGATGTTATGTCATTCGTAATAATTAAAAAAAAAAACAAAAAAAAAACAAGAGACATGCATTATCTAGATATACAATGTATATCGTTTATAAGGAAGGTGTAAGCTTATCAAGGAATATTATCTGAGGGACGAAATATTTCTGATTTCAGATGAGAGGAATTTTGAAATATCTTCTTTTTTATAAAACACCTTTACCAATCAATGCAATCACTGCTGGAAAGTTATAAATTGATGTTTTCAAACAATCGCTTTAAAGAATGTCTATCAACATAATATGTAAAAGTCATCTTGAAATAATTAGTAGGAACACAAAACGTTTACTTTCACTTGAAATCTTACATAGATTTACATCTTATGTTAAGTTTAAGATAAATGATTATTAGAGCAAGTATGTTGATTGTTACAGAACTGCTTCAGATAAGGCTTGTGTGTATTGATATGAATTCCTGATCTATTTGTTCTTTCATTTTGTTATTTGTTTTTTAGGTTGCAATAGTCATAATGTCAACAAGTCTAAAACCGCCGGAAGTATCTCTTCACATGCCTAGACGAACGGAGAAATTTGTTGAGCTATTTTGTAACCTGCCACATGCCGGACTACTTTCATCATTATCGTACAATCTTATATTGGTTCTAATCTGTACATTTTACGCTTTTAAAACAAGAAAACTACCTGATAATTATAAGGAATCCCGTTATATTGCATTTTGTGTTGATACCACTCTTCTGATATGGATAACATTTGTTCCGACATACTTCACCACGACAAGAGCGGCAGCAAAAACAACAATCGTTGCAGTATCATTATTACTAAATGCGTCCGTGACAATAACTTGTCTTTTTATTCCAAGAATACATGCTTTATATAAGAGCCTAAAAAATTGTTCTACAGCTAAGCACCACTACAAAGACTTTAGAATTGTAAAGCACGTTGTTAAGCGGAAGCATTCCTTCGATATGGAAATAACCGCTCGAGAGACTGTTTCCGGTATAGAAAAGCGAATATCAAATGGATTGACAAGTCATACTGATTTAATGTCACGTGATACCTCAGATAATACTTTGCCAGTTACGAACGGATCACAGCCATTCTTAGAACTGACAGATCTTTCCAAAACGGACGTGATCAGGTCTTGTCAAACACTTGTTGACATGCATGTGTTGGAGTCGGAAATTGAAAAACCTTCGTTTCATCTTGCCGAATAACATGAAAAAGTTCACTTTTTTTACTTGTCCATGTACAAGTATTTCATTTCAGCATTCTATTTGAGAGCTCAGTTATCAATCACATGATGGAACATTGTTAAATATTTAAAAGAAAATGAGATTCTATATTTTTGTATGTAAACAGCATTATCTTTCAACAATTTACGTTTGCTAGAAAAAAGTATTGAAATTATTGTTATTTAAAGTAAATAATAAAAGACTGAATAAATTGATTGATATTTTTCTAGAATACAGAAAATGATACACATATGAAATGTACTTTTTAACAAATTGTGTATCATAAGAAATATATAAAAATTCTAATACCGGGTAGTTTATAATGTTTGACTTCTGAAAAAAGGCACGAGAGTGATAAAAGTGTGATCGACTGATCAATACGACCGATGAAAAATTGTATTGAGTATATGCTTTACCTTTTTAGCAATTGCAGTTTGCTGGTGCGTCATTGAACATTGTATAAACGGACAGGCTGTATAGATATCTTACGAGTAAATGCGCTTTGATTAATATCCAATATTGATTATCATTTCAGAAGTCTATTATTTGGTCTAAACTATGAATACTTTAATATTAACCATTTTGTTTGCCCTTGCGAAATTTATTGACTAGAACTTAAGGTACAATCCTTTATTGTGTGTGAGATATACCGGAACCTTACTCCGTCACTTCGAAATTCAGTGAGGTATGCATAACTTTCCTATCATCATTATCCCAAAGTAAATTAGAAATAAACTTCAGGTAAGATGAATATTAAAGGGGGAATACTTTGTATTTGAACAGTAATTATCCTGAAAAGATGAAGAATTACCAAGCTTATTACTTTATTAATGAATGCAATCTCTAAAGAACTTGAATGAAAGAAAGACTACAGTCCAAATGTAGTATCATGCTACTTTAGGAAAAAATGTTCTATTCCTTTTTTGTAAAGGGTTTTGCATAGAGAATTTAATTAGCAATGGGAGATAAAGAGCCTGAGGACATGGAGCTGCCTCAACACGATTAGCACATTAAAAGCATTCGGTAATGTGTACACACACACTATGTACAAGTCTTTGAGTCAATAAATTAGATTGCACTTAGCCTTTCAATATGCGCATATATGAATAAATTGGCAATTATATTGTACAAACCACTCATTAAAAGGCTCAACAACACAGAGTTTTCAATTGTCTATTGTTGCGAATACAGACAGTTCAGTTCTGATTTGAATCCTTCATGCAAGGCCTACGATGCTAGGCCAAGCTATGTAATCATTGGAGGATTACTAACCATATAATAGTAAAAAAAAACTATTTACACAGAACAAACATCAAGTCAAAGATTTCCTTAGTCACTTTTCAAAAAGAATAGCATGAGTCTGAAAAAATAAAGAAAGAAAGAAAAAAAAAACAACAACAAGACCAACAAGGAAGTGCGGCGTCCGTTCAACGTATGCGGCCTATTAATCATTCAGAAAAAGAAATAAATAATAAATAATAGAATATAATAAATAAAGCAAATATTAATTATGAAATTGATAAAGAAAAATCTCTGGGCAGCTTAGCAAAAAAGATATTATCTCACAATCTGACTAAAGTTCAGGTCTACTTACGTTATTTCTTGCATATAGCGTAGCGTTAATTAAGAGCGGAATTTAATTAGATTGTATTTTCTCTCTACATCAGATTAAGAAATGAGCCGCGTCAAGACAAAACCAACATAATGCGTTTGCCACCAGCATGGATCCAGACCAGCCTGCACATCCGGATACATGCTGTTCGCTATCAGTTTCTCTACTTGTAATAGAGTTTGAAAGTACAACAAACGCACTATGTTGGTTTTGTCGTGACGCGGCTAGAATGATATTTGTCTCTATAATATATTTTATGTGGTTTGTTTCTGTATCTTCTAATAGTTTGTCTTCAATCAATTTACTAATGCATTGAACTCATTTTTATTACGTTTTTCAATTTAGCGCATGACTGTGCACGTGGTAAAGCAATAATGCTACTTGACACCATTGGGGACATTTTAATGTTTTATCTTATTGAGAAAATACATTTGAAAGAACACGTTTCTCCTGAAGAATTATTTGATATAATTCATCTTAAATGTGTCTAAATATTAAACTATAAAATGTGAAGATGCCATAAAAAGCACGCTTAGTTATAATTATTTAATACTTTTAGAAAAACATACAATACAATATCGTAAATTCCAAGAGGTAAATTGACTTCTTTAAAATTGGAATAACATTATCTATTTTTTATATGCGGTTGACATTTAATTAAAGGCTCATTAACTGCTACTATTTTCATTTCTCAAAACATTTTTGTTTTTGGTAAAAATTAATGCATATCAAACGTTTACATTAATTGTAATTTAACAAAAACAGTAATAATTAAAGGTTTAAAGTGACATTGTGATCATTTTTTATTGCGAAGTTCAGCTGAATTGACTATAAAAAATGTTGATAAACCAACTATAGATATTAGAAAATGATTTGAATCTGCCTAAAATATAAAAACCTTCGGACTCATAAATTGAACGTTACAGGTAAATTCCGATTGATATTTACAGAAATTTATTCGGGATACGCGAGTTATTTCTTGTTCATGTGAAGCAAATTATAAAATTGAAAGAATTTATGGCAAAATGTAAACTTGTTCTGACATTACCTGTCTACTATGATTAAACTAAGTACACATGTCCAAGCATATGCTATGATTTTTCAACGTTATTTACATTAGATATATATCCGAATTACAAAAAGAAGACGAGATAATAAGTTGCTTGTTTTCGAGAAGACTTACACAAAATTTTGCAGTACTGTAGCTATTGAATACGGTGTTCCGTTAGGGCGGCGCGGTTTTGCGCTGTTGTCCTAAGGGCAAAATCGCAAAAACACGATACTTTGACGCGAAAACACGATGCGATAAAGCGAAAACACGATAAGAGATCGCGAAAACATGATTCGAAAAATATCGCGTTTTCGCGCTATTAGGTCAGACACTCACATTGATATTTCCATAGGCTTACATTATAAGAAATGGTCCCTAATCCTAACTTAAAATTGAGTTTTCATGCTAAAGAGCTAATTTTTCTAGTAGAATGAAATGCCTGACACATGAAAATGCTCTTGTTATATAGGGTTAGCCAACCAAATTTTTTGCAAAATGACTTCAGAGAGGATTAATAATAATAATAATAATAATAAATACCACATTTATATAGCGCCCTTTTCATTAAAATGTTCAAAGGCGCTTTACATCAATCATATATGTCTAAAACAATATAAATGAACAGGATTATGAACATTAAAAATATTTTGCATTAACTAATTAAAAGTATAAATTATGGAATTATTTTTACATATTAATACAATATAAATATTCTGTGCTTAAAAATGCTAGCAATGAATTATAATAATAGATAAGATCTTGCTAAATCATCGTTATAAAACAATAGAAATACTAAATTGATTTAAAAATTGTTTGTTTAAAAAAAAAAAAAAAAACTTTTTAATAAAACTAATATTCAAATAACAGATACTTCGTATTCACTGTTTATAAAATTCATTCATAACAGTCACTGATTATTTTCCATAAGCTAAATTGAAGTAGTGTGTTTTAAGATGTTTTTTGAAACTTTCTACTGTGTTACAGTTTTTTAGATGACTTGGTAGTGAATTCCATAGCTTAGGAGCTGATGCCGAAAAACTCCTTTCACCAAATTTCAGTTTAGTTTTTGGTTGCACTAATCGTACAGGTGCATTTGAAGAGCGCAGATTTCGGGAAGTGGAATAAACTTGAATCATTTCCTGCATATATGATGGAGATTGTTGTTTCAGTGACTTGAAAGTATGTAATAAGATCTTGTAATTCACTCTATATTCGATTGGCAGCCAATGAAGATCTTTCATCACTGGTGTAATATGATCTTTCCTAGATGTACGTTTAATCACACGGGCTGAAGTATTTTGAACAAGTTGAAGTTTTTTCATGGTTTGTTGAGGTATACCATATAGAAGAGCATTGCAATAATCCAGTCTTGATGTCACGAGAGAGTTAACGAGTGTTTTTGTAGCTTCTTCGTTGATATATTTTCGAATACGTCCTATCTTACTTATTTGGGCATACGAAGATCTGCACACGGAGCTAACATGATGTTCCATATTAACCCTTGAATCAAGGAATGCACCCAAATTCCTTACACTTGATGACTGTTTGATTTCAGCTTGGTCCACATTGACAGTTATATTTTTCACTGAGTCTGTATTGCTACCCGACGAAAAGACTATAAGTTCTGTTTTGTCTGAATTCAGTTTGAGAATGTTGCTGTTCATCCAGAATGTTATTTCTTTTAAGCAGTTTGAGACAGAATCAAGTACAAGTTCAGTTTTGGTGTTGTCCAACGGTTTGAAAGAAATGTATATTTGAGAATCGTCAGCATAGAAGTGACATTGCAGACCATGTTTTCGACAAATTTCGCCGACAGGTTTTGTGAAAAGTATGTAAAATTTTGGTCCTAATACAGAGCCCTGAGGGACACTGTATGTCATATGCTGTACCCCCCATTTCATTGAAATTTTCTGCTGATCACAGGACTGACATACACTTTTTATGAATGCAAATATCCAAGTCAAAATTATCACAGAGACTCATGAAATATTTCATTTTCTTCAGAAAACAGTGTAGTGTTACTTTTTAAATTAGTTTTTTTACTTAAAAATACCCCACTTCCATCCAATCACCTCATGTATAAATTGACTCATACGGTTTTCCCTGCACTTTTTTTCAGCCAATCGCTGGCCATGTTACAATGCGATACCCTGACCTATTAATACCGTGTTTTCGCTTTTTCGAGAAAAACGAGAAAACGCGATATCAATAGCGCGGAAACGCGATATTTTTGGCATCGTGTTCTCGCGATCTCATATCGCGTTTTCGCCCTCTCAACCGCGAAGGCGAAAGAGCGAAAACATGATGTTTTATATCGCAATTTTTCACTTGATTTCTTATTTTGTCAAGCGCTCTGACCGTAAAATGCATTTTAATTGTTTTCCATCTGTCCAGAGTTCTGTAAAGAAAGAAAAAAAAATCAAATTCACAATTGCAAGAACTATACGTTAATATCGATTTTACACGTCGCTATATTTACAAAACTGAGTTAGAAACGTGTGGATTTTGTGGGGTACCTTTGAATGAATGAAAATCATTGCTAGAAAACTAGGTACGTGTGAGCTGTATTTGATCTTTAAACTTACTAGAGAACCGGAGGAAGTTCGAGTTATTTTAGGCAACTGTGTTTGTGTTTATGACTAAAAGTACGCGTACGTGTACACGTCTTAAATCTAAACCTCTCTATTAATTGAAGTTTACCTTGTGGTAAAAGTAGAGAAAACTTCTGCCATCGAGGATTGTTGGGAGAATAATTACAATTGTTCTGGCGTTTGATTTAGTCACAAGTAACAACAAAAATCTATTTACCATTTTGAAGCATAGTCTACTAATTATCACTGAAAGTTTCA